TAGGACTCTGACTTCCAGGGCGGGGGTTGCTTGCCAACATTCATACAGTCTTCCCAGGGAGACTGAAGCTCAAGCCTTCCGGCTCCAGACCAAGACCCACCACATTATCATTGGGGACCCAGCCCCAGCCTGACCTTCCCCCTAGAGCCCACCGCTTACCCCAGCCCTGCAGTGCCTCCCAGCTCTGATCACCCAAGGCAGTGACCAGTGGTTGACCCACTGGTCCTCCATTCACTTGTTATTGTTCAGTCGCTAAGTCATGTCCAACTCTTTGTGACCCCATGGACTGCAGCATGCCAGGCTTCTGTATCCTTCACTGTCTCCTAGAACTTGTTCAAACTCATGTCCATTGAGTCACTGATGACATCCAGCCATCTAAACCTCTGTTGTCCCCTTCTCCTCCTGCCCTCAATCTTTCCCAGCATCAGGGTCTTTTCCAATGAGTCATCTCTTCACATCAGGTGGCCGAAGTATTGGAGCTTCAGTTTCAGAATCAGTCCTTCCAATGAATATTCAGGGTTGATATCCTTTAGGATTAACTGGTTTGATCCTCTTGCTGTCCAAGGGACTCTCAAAAGTCTGCTCCAGCAGCACTTTTTCTTCCCCCATTTATTTTTTTAGTTGGAGGCTAATTACTTTACAATATTGTAGTGGTTTTTGCCATACATTGACATGAATTAGCCATGGATTTACATGTATCCCCCATCCCGGTCCCCCCTCCCACCTCCCTCTCCACCCGATCCCTCTAGGTCTTCCCAGTGCACCAGCCCCGAGCACTTGTCTCATGCATCCAACCTGAGCTGGTGATCTGTTTCACCCTTGATAATATACATGTTTCGATGCTGTTCTCTCGAAACATCCCACCCTCGCCTTCTCCAGCACCACTTTTGAAAGTATCAATTCTTCGGCTCTCAGCCATCTTTATGGTCCAACTTGCACATCGGTACATGACTACTGGAAAACCATAGCTTTAACTATACAGACCTTTGTCAGCAAAGTGATGTCTCTACTTTTTAATACACTGTCTAGGTTTGTCATTGCTTTTCTTCCAAGAAGGAAGTGTCTTTTAATTTTGTGGCTTCAATCACTGTCCAAAGTGATTTTGGAGCCCAAGAAAATAAAATCTGTCACTGTTTCCACTTTCGTTGATATTTTCTAATTGTTTCATGTTCCAGCCCTCTCTGCCCAGGGAGACTGTAAGTGCTTGGAGGCCAAGGCTGACCTCGTACTTCTCATGAAATCTCCATAGTGTCAAGCACTGGGCTTCCAGATGTTTCATAGCAAATGGATGGATGGGTGCTTTTCGTATGGTGAATTGTGCTAAGTAAGGAAGCAAAGAAAGGATGTTTTCTCTTTTTGAGAGGAAGAGGAGAGAAAGAAGAGGAAGAAGAGAAAATGTAAGTAGAGAGCAGGGAGTGGAAGATACTTTCAGAGTCAGCCTTACTATCCCTACTCTGACAGATTGGGAAACTGAGGCTCAGGATGGTGAGAGATCAGGCATTCCTGTGGAGGTGCAGCACCTGCCCAGAGTGACCAGCCCTTCAGCAAAGAGCAAAGGGTTCTCTCGGCCAAAAGCCAAAGGGAGGCAGGCCCATAAGCCAACCCGCCCCCAAAGGTGTGGCTAAAAATTCTTGATAGGTGTTTTTAGATAATTTTATCGAGCATATCAGTAATATTTTTATAAGGAAAAGTCTTTTTCACTGTCCACCCAGGAACCCCCTTCTCTTCCGTCTTATTGTGTGATGCCTTGAGCTGCAGTATTTTTGTTTTGTTTTGATTTGTTTGGAGTATAGTCGCTTTACTATGTTGTGTTAATTTCTGCTCTACAGCAAAGTGAATCAGCCACACACACACATATACCCCCCTTCCTTGGATTTCTTTCCCAGCTGGTGGTTTAGATGCTAAGTCATGCCCGACTCTTGCCACCCCATGGACTGTAGCCTGCCAGGCTTCTCTGTCCATCGGATTCTCCAGGCAAGAATACTGGAGTGGGTTGCCATCTTAGGTCACCGTAGAACAGAGTTCACTGTGCTATACAGTCAGTTCTCGTTAGTTATCCATTATACACAGAGTGGTGTATATATATCAGTCCCAATCTCCCAGTCCATCCCATCTCCCCTTCCTCCTTTGATGTCCATGTGCTTGACCTCTATGTCCATGATTCTGTTTCTGCTTTGTAGATAAGTTCATCTCTACTGTTTTTCTAGATTTCACATATATGGATGAATATATGATATTTATATTTCTCTTTCTGACTTACTTTACTCTGTATGACTCTCTAGGTCCATCTACATCTCTGCAAATGGCACAATTTCATTCCTTTTTATGGCTGAGTAGTATTCCATTGTATATATGTACCACATCTTCTTTATTAATTACTCTGCCAGTGTATATTTAGGTTGCTTACACATCCTGGCTATTGAAATAGTGCTGTGCCAAACATTGGGGTGCATGTTTCTTCTGAACAGCAATGTTTTTAAAGCTATGAAATTATTCTGATCTATTTCCATTTTTTGTTGTATTAAAAACAATTCTAAGAAAAATGGAAATAGATCAGTCTTCCCAGTGCACCAGCCCCGAGCACTTGTCTCATGCATCCAACCTCGGCTGGTGATCACTGTTATTCCCCCCACCCCTGCTTGCCTAACATAAACTCCTATAGTAGCATCTTCCAGGCCCAGGGTGCTCAGTACTTATCTGTCGATTGATTAATTGATCTGAGTACATGTGAATGAGAAAGCAGCCAGATGTCTTAGCTAGAAAGTGCAAACAAGATCAGATGCCTTGAAATGAAGTTTTATGTTCACTCTGGGGAAATTTGATCAAATGTAAGACTTTCTATCATCTCTCTGTTGATGGAAAACACTTGAGAAGGGGTCCTGAGGCTGCCACTTGCTGTGCAAACACCCACTCCAAACAGCGTTGAACTTTAGTTGAATGGTTGGAGACGTACACTGGACTCGGTAACGGGTGTGTGTGTAAGGTTGAGAGCAGGGGCTCCTTAACCAACACAGATGCTCTGAACAATTTGATAAAATGTTAGACAAAGCTACCTAAGTAAAGCACCCCTGACACGCAGGCCATCTGAATGCATGTGATGACGCTGTAAAAATACTCTACAAACTGTTGAGTTTGCATAAACAGGGTGGTTCGAGGAGTTGACAACATGATTATTCATCAGGTCACAAGCCTGCACAGTCTGTCTACCGCTTCCACACAGGAGCCAGGGAGCTGGAACCGCGGCAAGAATGGAGGTTCAACCCACTCCCGACTCCTGGCTATCTCTATGGAGCAGCACACGACCCACTCCCGACTCCTGGCTGTTTCTATGGAGCAGCATACAAGGGTGTGGTGCACTCTCTGAGCATCCCAGCTACCCTCCTGTCATCACCTGAGTCCTGGGCAGAGTGGGGGTCTGAAGCTGAGCCCATTGGGTTCACTGTCCAGCTCTGAGGGTGCTGCTGGCCAGCGGTGTTGGCCCCACCGGTGTCCCGCCGTGTAACCGAGCACAGAGCCTGAGCCCACACCGTAGGGTTTCCCAGCCCCCACTCTCAGCCTGGGGACTCTTCATTTAACATCAGCACGTGGAACTACCACTTCCCAGGTGCTGTGCACACGATGGAGTCTCCCACAGCTCCTTCTCAAAGATGCAGGACCAGGGAGGTCACGTGACACGGCTAGGGCGCCCGCTTCTCCAGTTCGCCTGAGAGCATCTTCTTCGCCCACGGTCCAGGAGATATCTGAAGCCCCTGTGGCTTGTCCAGCAGGTCAAAGATGGATGTTTAGCAACTAATACCTGGTGACATGGGCTCCCCTGGCGGCTCAGACGGTAAAGAATCTGCCTGCGAGGGAAACCTGGGTTTGATCCTAGGCTGGGAAGATCCTCTGGAGGAGCACATGGCAACCCACTCCAGTATTCTTACCTGGAGAATCCCCATGGACAGAGGAGATTGGTGGGCTATAGTCCATGGGGTCACAAAGAGTTGGACACAACTGAGCGGCTAAGCACACCTGGTGACATAGAGCAGGACTAGTTCTTTCCCTTGGATCTCGGGCTCAAGTAAGAGCCCAGAGGTAAAGAAGAGGGGAAAGGGGGTCAGGTGGGGGATGAGGAAGGGAGGAGACAGAGACAGAGAACCGGTGAGCTGGGAGGAGCACCTGATTAGGGTCAGACTAGCCAAGCGATGGCCTGCTCCCTGCCACTCACTGCTGTGTGGCCTGGGGCAAGTCACTGCTTCCTCTGGGCTTATATTCTCAACTGAAGAATGAGTCACAGGGACAGAGGAGGCGTGGGGCTCTCAGATTGCTCCAGATTGTGCTCCTCTAATCAGAGGGGCATCCAGAGCCTGGCACTATTAGACCTGATGCCCATATGAGCATGGTTCAGCCAGTGGGATCCAGGGCACTTTGAACTCTGCTCCACAGTGAAGTCTGGCTGTCCTCTCCCCTGCTGCATGTCTGACTGCCCCCACCCTCCTCACTCCACTTCAGCCCTGTATCCAGTTTTAGGGACTTAGATTCTCCCGGCTCTCTCACCTGCATCTCCCAGTTCACCCGACTTCCCTCTGTCACTGGCTGACCCAGGCTGTCTGCTTGAAGTTTGCCTCTCTGGGTGGCACCCCCTCTCCTAGACTGTCCCCCAGTGTCAGGCCTGGAGGTGGCCAGCAAGGTGACAGCAGGGGCTGGACAAGGGAGGATAAACTGAAGGGCAGGGCTAGTGAGGAGGACAGCTGGGGTCCTTGTCCTCTTCTAGGGTCACCCTGAGTGGTCCCCATGGGCAAGGCCAAGCCTGTAGGTTATAGCCAGCAGCCATTTGGATTGGGTCATTGTCTATTCTTGGGGACCAAGCCCCCAGGTATCCCTGTTATGAAATATATTGAATCACCCTGTCACTTCCTACCACTCAGAGCCAGAAGAGAGACCCAAAACCAAAATCCACACGTTCGCAACAAGCCTCAAACACCCCACTAGCTAACCACAGAGAATAGACAGAGGCGAGATTTCTATGCCAAGAGAACACACTTTATTGGGTAAATTTCCAGGGAAGCTTAGTTTTACCCGGCGTAAAAGCAGTCAAAGCCAGAAACACAATCTAGGAAGTTTTTTGGTAGAAAAATCTGCTGAGCGGGGAGTCCCTCTAGGGAAGGAGAGGTGGGGGTCATTTAGAGCCTGGACACACAGGGGTGTCCTCCCTCCTGTGGGCCAGGGCCTGCCCAGTTACAGCGGCTGCACATGCTCCCTGGAAGAAATGATCTTCCCATCTCTGAACTCCTCCGTGATGGTGCGGATCTGGGTGCTGAGCTGGGGGCCCGGGGCACAGGGCCCACTCGAGACATAAGGAACTCTGCCAGCAGGCTTGCATTCCGTGGCACAAGGATGGGCAGGCAGCCTGAGGAAATGAGATCACGTCAGGGCGTGTTTGGCATTGGCCACTGAACTGACCAGCATGTCAAACATACATGAGGGTCAAGTGAGATGGGTGGGAGGCCATGACAAATGGCTCAGATGGTGCCTATCTGGAATCCTTGAGGGCTGCATAGACAAAGATCAGAAACTCCCAGCCAAAAACAATGGATGGAGAAGTATGGTGAGTGGGGCCAGCTTGTCCACCTGCAAATGCTCAAAGCCTAGAGCTAGAAGGAATGTCACTCCAGAGGCTATGATCAAGCCTCCCCTTCATCTGCACAATAACCCTCACCGTGGTACTAAGTGTTGGGTCCAGGTGAGCCTTTTCCCCAAGCCTGGACCCCCAGGACCCATGGTCACTCACTTGCAGTCTTCTCCCTCGAGCAGGCGGCGGTAGGTGGCGATCTCTGACTCCAGCCGGGCCTTGACATCCAGCAGCACCTGGTACTCCTGGTTCTGCCGCTCCAGGTCACAGCGGATCTCGGCCAACTGAGCCTCCACATTGCTGATCAGGCCCTGCATCTGGGCCAGCTGGGAGCTGTAGCGGCCCTCAGTCTCTGCCAGGGTGGATTCTAGGGAATTCCGCTGCAAAGGGAAAGAGAAGCACTGCCAATGGGAGGGAACTCCGCCCCCCATCAGAGACCCACAGTCCTGGGTATCTCCATACCACTAGTGATCACCACCCATGATAACCGAGGCAGGGATCGGGGCACCTGCCACGAGCATGGCCAGCCCCTCAGGCGGGGGCCACTCACCATGCTATGCTGAGCCTGCAGTTCAATCTCCAGGGCGTTGACATTGCGTCTCAGCTCGATGATCTCTGTCTGGCAGCACTGCAGCTGCTCCGAACTGGACACCACCTGCTGGTTCAACTCCTCGGTCTGAAAATTGTAAGAGGACCCAGAGAATGGTCAGAGCAAGTGAAGCCACTGTCAAGGGTGTCCCCACCCCACAAGCTCTCCCAGGGCTAGCCCAGCCCCACCTGGGTGTTGAACCAGGCCTCCACATCTCTGCGGTTATTCTCCACTAGGGTCTCATACTGGCATCTCATCTCGTCCAGGATCTTGTTGAGGTCCACTGGGGGAGCAGCATCCACCTCCACATTCAGCCGGTCCCCAAGCTGGCATCGGAGCGTATTGACTTCCTGCAGAGAGCAGGCAAGAGGGCATCAGGTTGTGACAAGGATGTTGGATGCGAGTTTGACTGACCTGGGTAAAAACCCTCCTCCTTCAGTTGTCAGCTGTGTGACATTAAACAGGATGCTTAACTTCTCTGGGTTTCAGCCTCCTCAGGCACCCTGACCTGCCTCCTTGGAGAATTTGGAAGATGATGCAAATACCAGGTAAGTAGAATCATTATCAGGCACTACCCTCCAAATGGAAATTTAGTATCATGCCCAGGAGTGTCAGATCCATGTGACTTTAGACAAGTGACTTAACCTTTCTGTGCCTCAGTTTCCTCATCTGTAAAATGAAGCTTGTAATAGTATATACCTCCTGGGATTATTGTGAGGATGACATAAAACAAGAATAAAATACAAAGTGCTTTGTAGAGTTCTTGGCACACGGTGGGCCTTCAGTAAAGGTCATCTGGGGTTACTATGGAGGTGGTTGTCACTGTTGTTACACCCAAGGGTCAGCAGTGGCTCCCTGCTGGGTGGAAATCATCAGGAGGGTATGTGGGACCAGCCTCACCTCCTCGTGGTTCTTCTTGAGACACATCAGCTCCTCCTTCAGAGACTCCACCTGCATCTCCAGGTCAGCCTTGCACAGGGTCAGCTCATCCAGGATCCGGCGCAGACCATTGGTGTCGGCCTCCACTAGCTGCCGCATGCCCAGCTCCGTCTCATACCTGCATGCACAGAGCCCTGCTGAGTCTGCGGCAAGGCAGCCACTCACAGGCAGGGCCTGCCGCCTTGTTGTCCAGCTGCAGTGGCTGATTTGGGGTCAGCATCACTGTGGTTCTCTCCCTTGACCCGGAAAGGATCTAGGACTGATGCCGCACTCCCCACTTAGAGCTGCATCTGGCCTCACTCTCACTTTCCCAGCTCCCAGAGGCGGAGGACAGAGGCAAGGGAGTAGCACAGAACTACCTTCTGAGATCAGGCCACTCACTTGGTCCGGAAGTCATCAGCAGCCAGCTTGGCATTGTCAATTTGCAGGACCAGCCTGGCGTTTTCAGCCTTGGTCAGCAGGATCTGGGGAACCAAGGCCGTCCTGTGAGCTGGGGAAGGCCCAGCAGTGTGGGGGCAGGTGGGAGGGGACAGCCCAGCTTTCAGAGGCCATACTTCTAAGTACCTTTGGCATTTCCAGCCCTGAGTTCTGAGCCTAGATATAGAGGGAGCGTCAGTCCCAGAAAGTCATTAGAAAAGACCCTGATGCTGGAAAAGATTGAGGGCAGGAGGAGTAGGGGGCAAGAGAGGATGAGATGGTTGGATATGGTTGGATGGCATCACCAACTCAATGGACCTGAGTCTGAGCAAACTCCAGGAGATAGTGAAGGCCAGGGAATCCTGGTGTGCTATAGTCCATGGGGTTGCAAAGATTTGTACATGACTTAACAAACGACCAGCAACAATAGTCCCAGGAAGGATATCACAGTGGCCATCAGGCCTGACACCTGAAGCCCCAAAGGCACAGTGGGTCACACTCATGTGAGCAGAGAGAACCAGGCCAAACCTGAATTCAGATTCCACATCCAACACCAACAGGCTATGGGATCTTGAGAAAGTGGCCGAACCTCCCTAAAATTCAACTTCTGCATCTGTTAGATGGAACCAATAATGTCCATCTCTCCAAGATGAGGAATACACAAACAAAAGGAAGGGAAGGCATTAAGCGCAAAGCTTGTGTCCAGTAAGGGCTTGGTGGGTGTGATTGCTCTTCCTATAGCTAAGACTGGCTGGAAAGGAGGGGCGTTTACAAGCAGAGAGAGATCTGGGTCCCCCAAGAAACCAAACCCCTAGAGAGAAAAGCTGGCCCTAATAGGAGAGAGAATCCTCTGAGAGCTACAGCCTCATCTGTAGTGAGATGAGACAGACCCCTCCCAGGGTTTGGGTGGCTGGGCTGGAGTGGGACCAGGCCCCGGTTACCTTCTGCTGGAGCTCTTCAATGGTCTTGAAGTAGGACTGGTAGTCGGGGCAGATGTACGGGATCTGAGACTCGTACCACTCCCGGATGCGGCTCTCCAGCTCTGCGTTCTCCCGCTCCAGCTGCCGCACCTTCTCCAGGTAGTTAGCCAGGCGATCGTTCAGGAACTGCATGGTCTCCTTCTCATTGCCGTTGAAGGCACCCTCGCAGAACAAGCCCCCAGCCCCGGCAAAGCCAGAGGAATGGAACCCAGAGGACAGGAAGGGACCAGGCAAGCAGCTCCCAAGGCTGGAGAGGCCCAGCCTGACGGAGGAGGCTGACCCCGAAACACCAGCAAGGCTGGGCACCCTGCAGGAGCCCACGGAGCGGACACAGGACACCCGAGAGATGCCGCTGGTTGTGCCGCAGTGGCCCCTGAGAGACCCAGAGGAGAAGATCGGGGAGCAGAACTGGGAGGCCATGATGCTAGCAGAGCAGGTTGCAGCTTAGCGAGGAGCTCAGGTTCTGGCTCTCATGGCCTCTCTGGGGCATTTATATACACTGTCTGTGGGGTGTTGCCATCTTACACTTGGGAAAGCCCATTCCTGTCCCAGGAGAATCTCATTAGAATGTGACTTTTGCTACCCATCCAAAATCCCTTGCCTTGTAAAAATAAAAAATAATGTAGAATTTCATTTGCTAAGTCAGGACTCTCAGCTGCTGTCATTTCCTCGTAGAATATGAATTTTATTGCCTCTTCAAAGTCCTTGCACCAGAACCCATAAATTGGGAGTGGCCTCACGAATGACATTTGGCACCTGCCCTCTCTGCAAGCTTTCTTCCAGATGCCCAAGCTGCTCACTTGTCACCTCTGACCACTACCCCTACCCATCATAGCTGCTCACCTCTGGGATGCTAAGAAGGGAGCAAAGGGAACTAAAATTCACGGAACACCTATCATGTGCCAGGCTTATAGTTATTTCATGGACACCTCACAACAGTCCTGGGAGATGGCCAGTATCATCTCCGTTTTACCAGTGTGGAAACTGAGGCTCAGAATGGTTGAAAGAAAGGAAGGAAGAAAAAAGGAAAGAAAAAAAAAGAAAAAAGGAAAGAAAGAGAAAGCTTGCTTGAGAAGAACAGGTAGTGAGTACAGAGGATCCGAAACCAGGGCTCTGGGACCCCAAATCCCACACTCTTGTTCAGCTGCTTCTCCAACACAACCAAAGTCAAGTGCAGGCACCCAGAATTTGGGGACAGAAGACCTAGGTTCAAACCCCAGCTCTGCTGTTGATCTGTCCTGTGATGCTGAGCACCTCACTCCATCCTGGGCATCCTCAGTGTCCTCACGGGCCTGCTTCATGCAGATCCAAGGAGGGTCAAAACCAGGGCAGAAGTGAAAATGGTTTGAAGCACCTCGGGTGCTGTAGAAATGTTGGTTGGGCTAAGAGGACAGTCTTTGATGATGGTTTGTGGCTGTGGCTGGCAAAGGGTTGTGGCTGTGAGCCCTCAGGTGGAGCTGCTTTGGAGGGCAGTTTCCTTTGTGACCTCTAGTTCCCTGAACCTAAGAGAATAGAATAATCAGGACCCTGGGCAGTCCTCTCTCCCCAACCCCAACCCCTCTCCTGCCCTCAGTTCAGTTCAGTCACTTAGTCATGTCCAGCTCTTTGCAACCCCATGGACTGCAGCACACCAGGCTTCCCTGACCATCACCAGCTCCTGGAGCATGCTCAGACTCACGTCCATTGAGTCAGTGATGCCATCGAACCCTCTCATCCTCTGTCGTCTGCTTCTCCTCCTGCCTTCAGTCTTGCCCACCATCAGGGTCTTTTCAAAAATGAGTTACTTCTTTGCATCAGATGGCCAAAGTATTGGAGTTTCAGCTTCAGCATCAGTCCTTCCGAGGAATATTCAGATTCAGGACTGATTTCCTTTAGGATTGACTGGTTGGATCTCCTTGCAATCTAAGGGACTCTCAAGAGTCTTCTCCAACACCACAGTTCAAAAGTATCAATTCTTCGGCACTCAGCTTTCTTTATGGTCTAACTCTCACATCCATACATGACTACTGGAAAAACCATAGTTTTGACTAGACAGGCCTTTGTTGGCAAAGTTATGTCTCTGCTTTTTAATATGCTGTCTAGATTGTTCATAGCTTTTCTTCCAAGGAGCAAGCGTCTTTTAATTTCATGGCTGCAGTCACCATCTGCAGTGATTTTGGAGCCCCAAAAAAATAAAGCCTCCTACTGTTCCCATTGTTTTCCCTTCTATTTACCATGACTGGATGCCATGATCTTAGTTTTCTGAATGTTGAGTTTTAAGCCTTACTGTTGCCTAAACAGGGTACAGAAATGGTCCATGCAGACCCTTCAGACAGAGAAGGAATAAGAAGATCAGATGAGACACTACAGAGAGTTAAGCAACCCAAGAGGAGAGCCTGAGGATTAAGGAACAAAGGTAAACTCAATCTTCCACCCTCAACACGGGTTTTCCCAAGGCTTGAGCAACCTGCTCACTCTTTGTCCACACAGACACACACAGCAAGGCTGGCGTTTATAGAAGCATTTATGTGCATGTGAAGTTGCAATTTACCAACCTCTTAAAACACTTTATAAGCTTCTCTCTGAAATTACTCAGGAGGGTTGGCTGTGGTGCACATTCTTGCCTGGTCCAGTGGATACCTAGATGGGATGCCCGAGAGCCACCTGATGGGCTCCCGGGGGTCCATTTGCTGTACTGCTCCTCCAGGGAGGGACAGCAGGGACAGCAGGGACAGCAGGCCTCCAGAGCTCGATTGCCCAGCAAGGGTGCCTTCGTGCTGCACACCTTCCCCGCAGGGCCCGGGATGGGGCTGTCTCAGGGTTTCTCAAGCTCAGCACTGTGGATGTCGTAGACTACATAATTCCTAGTGTGGGGGCCTCCTGTGCACCATACAGTGTTTGCGGCATCCCTGGGCAGATGCCAGTAGCAACCCCTCCCCACGTCGTAACAATTGGAAATTCTCCCGACACTGCCCAATGTCTCCTGATGGAAAAACTGCTCCCAGCAGACACCCACTGGACTATTAGGACAGGGACTGAGGCTGTGACCAGCCCCTCCTTTGTCTTCTAGGATGACAAGTGCAGAGTCTGACTGTCACTGTAGGGCCCAATCAGGCAGGTCCTTGATGCACGCATGACCCAACTCACCTCGTTTGTGACACAGTATGCCAGTCCAAAAGGCAGCTGCTCCCCTGCCCCAACATAGCACAGCTCTGACTGGGGTCTCTGGCTGCTGGACATCTGAAGTTAATGTTCTCGTGTGCTTTTTTTTTAATCCCTCCACTGTGCAATCCGTATCTGAAGCTGATTCTAGGTTTTTCTCAGGACAACAGAATGAGCAGGTTTCCGCTGTTCTGGCTGTGTCCCCATCACTCAGCACACACATCCAGAGGGCCACTGTGGGCCAGAGTCCAGGCAGGTGTCTCCAGGGTTGCGAGGGGTGGCACAGACGTCTCCTGGAGTGGGTGACAAGCTGCCCAGAAAAAGTCTTTGGAAGCCCTTTGTCCGCTGCCTTTCTCCATGGTGTAGGCAGCAAGGACACCTCTCAGAAGGAAGTGTGGAAGGGGTCTCATGAGAGGAACTCCTCTGCTCTCCTTCACCTCAGAAGTCTGGACCATCACGGGATGGATTGAGGCCCCACTGGAAAAAATGTTCTTCCTGTATCAGAGGAGAGAACCCAGGACTCACAGGTCTGTTCATCTCCCGAGGCCACCTCAGCTCACCCCTTCCCATGGTGGCCCAGCCCTGGAGAAAATCCAGCTGCACAATGTTAAGTACATCAGCGGTGCCCATGCACCAGGTGTTATTTCAAAATAAGGTTCTATTCTGAGACTGTCTTCTCCAACCTGAATCAAAAATACACTGGGATAATTAAATAGAATGAAATAATGCCATTTGCAGCAGCATGGATAGACCTAGAGATTGTCATACTGAGTGAAGTTAAGTCAGACAGAGAAGGAGAAATAGCGTATATCACCCCCTGTATGTGGAATCTAGAAAGAAATGATACAAATGAATTTACTTTCAAAACACAGACTCACAGACTTAGAGAACAAACCTACGGTTGCTGGTGGGGGGAAAGGATAGTTAGGGAGTTGGGGATGGACATGTACACTCTGCTATATTTAAAATGGATAATGGACAAGGATCTACTGTGTAGCACATGGAACTCTGCTCAATGTTATGTGGCAGCCTGGATGGGAGGGGAGTTTAGGGAAGAATGGATACATGTGTATGTGCGGCTGAGCCCCTTTGCTGTCCACCTGAAACTACCACAACATTATTAATCGGTTATACTCCAATACGAAATTAAAAAGGTTTCTAAAAATATACTGGGCTAAGTGTCAGGGGGCCTGGACTCCAGATTGAGCTCTGCCTCAAACTCTCTGGGCTCCAGAGCCCCAATCCGGACAGGAAGAGCCTGGACAACGTGAACTCAAGACCCTTCCATCTCAGACAGTGTAGGCTTTGAGGAGTGTTTCCCATGGAGCCAGCCAAATGTCATCTGGACGTGTCTGTGACTCATTCACCAGACACTGCCCCCTCTCTGTCACTGACCACATAACAAAGACAAGTTACAGAGGTTCAGCCCATGACACAATTGGGTTTTCTCTTCTTTGCAAGCCTGCATGGACCTCAGTCTCACTTTGCCTCCAGGTCTTCTCTATGGCTCTGAACTGATGCCATCTTGGGCCCTTACAGTTCTTCCTGTCCTTCCGCTGACCCTACCCAGGACTGTACTGGACACTAACTCACTTCTCTGTGGTCAAGGACTTTGTAGCTAATGGCTACTGCTTAATAATCATTTGAACCTGATGACCTCAGTGATGAAAACCTTCACTGACATATTCCCAGCGTCCATGAGACGTTACCCATTCATAAACCTTGACTTAGGGATGCCCATCCTGTCTCTGAGTACCTCCCCACATGCCCTAAGTAAACTATAAAATTGTCCAATGGCCCCTCAGTGGTATGGAATATAGCTACAGATGCTTCCAGATGGCTGTCAGCCCCCATCACACGCTGTGAGTAAGGTACCCTATTATAAACCGATCCATTGATTACTTGGAGCTACCTGCCTTGTTTTTTGGTCTCAAGATGCCTTTTCAGTTTGGAAGGAACTTTTCCTTCCTGCCATCCTTCACCACCACGAAACACCTCCAAACCAGGAGAGCACAATGGCGTGGCTTCCTCCCAGCATCCCTCCAGAGGCAGAGGCAATGCAAACCCAGCTCCCTAGATGGGAGCCAGAAGGGCCCATTCAGAGGTGCAGTGTCACCAGGACGTTTGTCAGGAGTCCCAGCATGTCCAGGCTGAAATGACATTGCTGGCTAATGAAGCCAACTGAGACTTTGTTTTGCAGAAGAAGGGCTTAGACAGAGTTGGGCTGGACAGCAGGGGCCCTGGGCCTGGGCTCAGCCAGACCATGGTTCAAGCTCCTTAATTCCTTTGAGCCTCCATTTTCCTAAAAGGTGAATGAAGCTCATAATGCCATATTCACAGGACTGTGATAACTAAATTGAAACATGCTGATAAACAGGAATTCACTTCACTGATTTGAAGAGATCAAAACTCTTCTTATATCCCATGTGGTCTGAACCTCAGATGAACGCTATTTCCAGGGCACAAACCACTCACTCTGGCTTCATAGAATACTGATTCAGAGGCCTAGCCCAGCTGTGCAGGGAAAGACAGCCACCTAAAGAGGTTAGGGCTGGGGGAATTCCCTGGCAGTCCAGTGGTTAGGACTCCGTGCTTCCACTGCAAGGGGCAAGATTGAAAAATCCATGGTGAGGGAACTGTGGATGCCCCACAGTGCACCCCAAAAAAAAAACAAAACGGAGTGAGGGATTGTGGCTGGGACTGTTTCCAGAGCTACAGGAGCCCGATCCTGTGTCCAGGACTCTCTGGCCTCTGGCCTCTAGTCTGTGTGCTGTGTTTAGTTGTCCAGTCGTGTCTGATTCTTTGTGACCCCATGGACTGTCTGTAGACTACCAGGCTTCTCTGTCCATGGGGATCCTCCAGGCAAGAATACTGGAGTGGGTTGCCATGCCCTCCTCCTGGGATCTTACCAAACCAGGGATTGAACCCAGGTCTCCCTCACTGCAGGTGGATTCTTTACCATCTGAGTCACCAAGGAAGCCCAAGATCACTGGAATGGGTAGCCTGTCCCCTCTCCAGGGGATATTCCCAACCCAGGGGCTCAGACCAGGGTCTCCTGCATTGCAGGCAGATTCTTTAACAGCTGAGCTACCAAGGAACCTCTACTCTAGAAACTCCTAAAAGCCCCCTGACCCA